CCCTTCTTTATCTCTCACTCTTCTCTCTTCCTCCCCTCCTTTTTCGATCTCGAGCATAACTTTATTTACCTATGATGAGGTATTAGAAGCTCTAAAAAACATATTTGAAGAGGGAAAAGAAGGGAGTTGTTGGCGGGATGGGAAATGGTGAGGGAGCGCTGAAAATAAATCTAATTTTTCCCCCTTTCTCTTTCGTGACTGTCACAAACTTCCCTTGTTGTTATGTTCTTTCAACATTACAGCGCTCTTTAAATTAATGACTTTTAGGTGATCGCCCCGAAGGAAGATCCACGTTGGCAAGCTGCTACACGACAAACTGCAATCACCTTGGCACACTTCCTGCAGAACGATTTGAAATTTTTGTTTAAAGATGAAACAATCATATAATGAATAATTTTAATGGAATTACACTGTAAATAAAATCTCATCTTTTGGTGACTTTCATGAGGGCCATAAAGCATTTAATAACTAGTGTTTTTCATTCTCTTAGACAAAATTCGTAGCGAGTGTAGTTTAATTTTCTCACTCAAAGAGATTTATTCTTCGCTTGCTGGAGATGAAATTCAAACTCTATGCTGATTGGATCCGCGATTTTTATGGAAATGATGTTTATGGGGATATAGCAACGATCGCTCCAATAACTGGATAACATCAAAGTTTCGGCAATGATTACCGCAAATCCTTTCAAAAAAAGTTGAAACTCGTCCAAATTACCTCTCAAAAGCCCATGACTATTGCATCCCTCTTATATCCACAATCGTCTACGCATGCTCGTGTATACGTTGTACGAGCCGTCCGTCAATCGTCGTCTGGCGAATTCTCACAAACACATATATCTTGTTCGAAAGTGTTAAACACACTGATATAATGCTTGGACTGAAATTAATTATCAAATCAGACAGCTGAGGAACAGAAGTGCATGGGGAAAAGACGATTATAATGAAGAGCATTTTGAAAGTGGACAACTTAATTCGTCTCTTGCAGCTATATCAAATGTTGTAATACGCATAGAGAAGATCATTGGGGACTAAGTGTACTTATAACATCAGCCGTATCAGAATTGGAAAAAAGAACAAAATTACCATAGCCCTAACCTTCCTTAGTTTGCGTTGGTGACGAAATATTACAGTTCTTTAACAAATTGCCTGCCAATACCCTCTCTCGTTCTTAAAGTCAGTGTCGAGTGAAACTAAAGTTTTATCTGTTTTATTTTAAGTTTTTATCAGATAATGACCTCTCTGACTCATAGGTTAGATACTTAGAGCCACGGCTCTGGTCACCTTCACTAATGAGCGAAAAAAGAGTAGGACCTTCACCAAAGAAAGTATGAGTAAGTCAAGGTCCGGATCGAAGCCCCCGCCTGACTTTTTTACACTGGAATTTTGAAGATCGAGAACTATAAGAACAATAGAGGGAGGAAATTTTGACCTTGTTAATGAATCAAGATTGAGATATCGTAGTACATAAGAACTGTAGATTTTAGGGACAATGATGAGAA